ATTGGTGAGATATTGGTGAGATATTTGTGAGATATTGGTGAGATATTGGTGAGATATTGGTGAGATATTGGTGAGAAATTGGTGAGAAATTGGTGAGAAATTGGTGAGATATTGGTGAGATATTGGTGCGATATTGGTGCGATATTGGTGCGAAATTGGTGAGGAATTGGTGACATATTGGTGAGATATTGGTGAGAAATTTGTGAGAAATTGGTTTGAAATTTGTGAGAAATTGGTGAGAAATTGGTGAGTTATTGGTGAGGTATTGGTGAGATATTGGTGAGATATTGGTGAGATATTGGTGGTTCACGAATATGCTTTTGGTACCACTCGAAAAGCCTCTTAGTACTGGAGATATTTTATGTATATATAAATTCATGTTCTTCTCTTATTTTATCTAATGCGCGACTTTGTTTATGTGTGAACAATTCTTTTCCTAAACGAAATGATTTTGGTTTTCTATCTCCCTTATAACGAAAATTTTTTTTATCCTTGAGTACATCATGGTCTGCAGACCTATGGTTACACTATTAAGCATCTCTTGTTCTCCACTTCCCATGATTGGGACTGTTTGTCACCGGCTATCTGTCAAGGCTTCACCTTACTATAGAGAGATGTACTCGTATGAACTCAGTCACTAGATATGAATTATCGACCTTGATATCAGTTGTTAGGGAGAGAGAATACGCATATAGATCTCCATATCAGTAAGACATTGCATGTTCTAGGTCAATCCGTCGTTGATTTACTTTTTGTACTATTCTAAAAGGCCTCTTACGTATGTATTGAACCTCTTTATAATTAGTATCAGAGTCTTTATTTGACTCAGAGGAGTACAATGATCCATGTATCGAAAGTCTTTCTAGCAAACGCTTTTAGGTCAACGTGTCTCGTTGAGATGAACAATGATACAAAAAGGAGTACTCAGATCCTTCAGGAGTGTACCATAGAAGAGACTCATTCTTAATGAGAGATTATTATAATTTCAAGTGTAATTCTTACATTGGATAAAAATATATAACAATATATAAGGTTTAGGGTTTTAATAACTTAAAATATGAAAATTTTAATCTAGGTTTTTATATTTTAAATTTTTGAATTGTTTTAGATTTAATATTTATTTATTAAAATAAAGTATGATTATATGTTAAACTATACTTTAAAAAAATAAACATTAATATCGACTAATATAATTTGAAAGATGTTAAATTGATCGAATATAATTTTTTTAAAAGGTCTCGTTTGGAGGTGAAAATATATGAAATAAAACTCTTTTTTTCTTTAATTTTTTATTTTCCAATGGTACAATTTCATCAATAAGATTCTCTCATTCAAATTTAATATTTTTGTTTCTGTTTATGTCATCATACATATGAATAAGATGTCAAATTCATAACTTTAATCTATTATCGAAAAATTCTATTTTAGGAAAGTGGGGTAAAAGTAAAACTCTAACTTCCAAAAGTTGTTTTTTAAAGGGTTAAATATGTTTTTAGTTCCTAAACTATTGGTCGTTTCTGGTTTTCGTTTCTCTTTCAAAATAAGGTACAATTTGGTCCTCATTCTTTTCAAAATTTTGGTTTTAATCCTCGAAAACTAACACCATTAAAAATGTGGTAGTTTTCGAGGTTAGTTTTCGAGGTTAGTTTTTGAGGACAAAAACCAAAATTTTAAGGACTAAAACTAGAGTTTCGAAAAGAATGAGAACCGAATTGTATCTTATTTTAAAAGAGGGATGAAAACCAGAAACGACCAATAGTTTAGAGACTAAAAACATATTTAACCCTATATAATTTGAAAATTATTTAAAAAATGATTTATAGATTACATAAATTGATTTTTTTTAATAAAAAGTATTTTAAAATTACATAATTCAAAAATTATTTTTTATTTTTAAAATTTTAAAAATTATTATTATAAATCTGAAAATAGTAGGTAAAAAAATTATGGAGGTGCAAGAAAAAAGTTATAGAGATGCAAGAAGAAAGTTATAGAGATGCAAGAAGAATCTGTCGTAAGCTGTAAGAGCCTGAAAATGTAAGGGTACTGGGCCCTGCAGCCTGGCCCAAGAAGCTAAGGACACTAGAACCTCAGAAGAGGCCTCATTTTTCCAACTCTGAGTTCATTTTTCTAGTTCCCCTTTCTCTCTCTAAACTCATCTCCATTTTCTCCTTCTTGCTCTGTCTTCTCTTTACCCCTGCACTCATTTGAACCGTTGAAATTTCAAATAGGTGGTGTTCTTTCGCTCATGGAGTTGAGAGCTTCCCTTCTATCCGATTAGATTTCTATTTGGACGGGTAAGTCAGTTTCTCCACTTTTTCTTGAACTTAGGGCATGCAACTTTACTGGTTGCATGGTGCTCCTTTTGATTCTCTGTCTATTCTAGCTCTAAGAGCTGTTTCCATCACCATTTAGGTGGTTGTAGGGCATTGTTTGGGTTTTCTCTGTGAAGGGCACTCTAG